GTCCCCGTGTTTCCAGCATCACTCAAACCTGGCCGGGGCCTTCCCACACGTGCACGACCCCGATTTAAGGGCGGCTTGTGCCCGATATCGTGTAAAGTGACACTTTTCCCAGGTGCGACCTGGATTAATAGTGAATTACTGGAGTCCAAGGCTCCTCCTGAGCCTGCCCCCGGCTTGGCTTCGGCACTCGGGAGGGACACCTGAAACAGGAGATGCTCCCGGTGCTCCCGCCGCGCTCCCGGCCCGGTGCCGATGATAAGGAGGCGGCAGCAGGAGCCCGCCTGGCTCTGGCACAGCAAACGCAGCCAGTAAATTTCCACTGGGGCAGCTCCGAGTTAATGAGCTCAGTGCGTGACCCCGGGAGCTGCCAGCGGTTGGGAGGAATTCCCCAGGAAAGCCGGGAGGGGATGGGGACCCTTCCTGTGTGAGCGTCCCCGAGCGACAGGAGCCGGCCTTCCATCCGCTCCGAGATGGTGAAGGGAGGGCTGGGGGGGCACGGCTTGGCTCGGAGGCAACATCCAAAACTAAAACTGGAGGATTTCGGGATTTGCCAGAGCATCAGGCCCAGCTCCTGCTCCGTGAGCGAGTCCCACCAGCCCTGGGAGCATCGTCTCCCTGTGTGGGTGCTGCTGCTGCTGCTGTGTCCACCCCAAGGTCAAAGGCAGAGCACAGACCTCCCCGTTCCCCCCCAGCTTGAAAAAAATAAGCCAAGGCTGTGTAAGATCTTATTTGAGCCCTGGATTATTTTCACCTTCTCCACAGTTTGCTGTTTTGGAGGTAGAATCCTGAATCGGGCACTAAATCCAAGTGAACACAGGCTCGTTATGGACATGGGGGGATCCAGTGCCATCACCGTGGTCTCTGGCCCTGTCACCTGTTGTTTGAGGGAGCCCCCAGAGCAAGAAAACAGCAGTTATTCCAAGGATTTTACACTCCTGAGTGGTTTTGTCCTCGATTTTATTCCGCCTGCTCCGGCCCCGGGGATGCTGCCGGAGGCAGGACCAGAGCAAGGCACGGAGACAGCAGGGAAAGGGGCAGCCTGGACACAACGGAGGTGCTGTTTGTATCCCGAGGTTTTGCTGGATGATTCACACGGGTGGGCGGAGGTGGGAGCTCCGGCAGCGTGGACAGGCAGTGTCTGTGCCAGGCTCATCCCCCCCCAGCTGCTCCAGCGTTGCCATTCCTGCTCCAGCTCCTGCTCCCCAGGGATGTGACTCACTCCCCACGTCAGACCCAGCTGGGCTCCCGGGGAGGGGATGGGAGAGCCCCCTCCATGGATTCGGAGCATCCCTGAGCCTCCTGCTGCTCCAGGGTCACGGACTCCCCGGGCTCTGTGCTCCCCTCTAACCCTCTGTGCTGACACAGCCCCAAAAGCAGCTTTTCCTCCAAAAAATAAAACCCCAATGGTGCTGGAATGGGAAGACCCCCAGCTCCTGCCAGGGCTGGAGGCCGATCCCACCGGAGCAGGGCAGCATTCCAAGGAGTTGGCCCACTCCAAGCACCTCTTCCCTCTCCTCTTTCTTACCTACTCCCTGCTCTGACACTTCCAACTCACTCAAGTGACCCGGTTCCTTCCCGTTTCCTGCTTCCAAAACTCCACGCCAGCCATTTATCACCTTTCCCTTTTTGAGTTTCCTTGCAGGGAGAAGCACTGAAAAGAAATCCACGACCTTATTGTCTGCTTGTTTTCCAATACAGTGAATTTATTATATGTTGCAAAATCAGCATTCAGCTTTTTTTTTAGTGTACAAAAAAAAGGACACTAGCTCTTAAGAAAAAAAAAAAAAAAAGATTAGGAAAGCTGAAGACTATGCTGCCTTGAAATTGTAACATTTTGGCAAAGTGAAAAGCTCTTTTTTTTTGTAAACTCCAACTCCATGGCTCAATATAGTTTTTATCCACAGTACAATATTACAAAGTAAAACACAGTATCAATAAGTTAAGATCATACTTAATCACCTAGAACTGGTTTCTATTAACCCAAAAAGCACAAAATTTTGCCTAAGCTTCGTCATCTCTAAAAAGGAAAAATAAAATAAAATAAAATAAAAATAAAAAGGCAGATTCGACTACAATTCTTTTAACACAGTCCAAAAGAAAAGTGAAGCAGGAAGTTGGTGGATGCTAATTGGGTCTCACAGTTTGGATATTCATTAAATATTTTCAGGGTTTTTTCTTTTTTTTTTTTTTTTTTAATATTCAAATTTTTTTAGAAGTCCCAGAATATACATGTAAATGTACACAATACATCTTTGTATACAACTCTGTTTGCAAAAATATCTTATAGCAGATGTATAAAGATTGAGATCCATCTCTATCCCCCCCATGAGCAACAAAAAAAAAAACAAACACAAAAGCAAAGCAAAACAAAACAAAAAACCCTTTAGAAATTAAGGATCAGGAGAAGTGTTTTCCACGGAAGAATTTACTCATCCTGGGTTTGTAGCTGCTGCCTCTTCAGCCATCCCGAGTTTCTTTGCTCCTCCACAGCCAGAACGAAGCCCCCACCGAGCCCCAGCACTGGGAAATTCAGCCTTGCCCCCAAAAAACATGGAATTTGGAAGGTCTGGCAGCGACGGTGCCCCCAAAAAACATGGAATTTGGAAGGTCTGGCAGCGACGGTGTCCCCAAAAAACATGGAATTTGGAAGGTCTGGCAGCGATGGTGTCCCCAAAAAACATGGAATTTGGAAGGTCTGGCCCCGGCCAGGATTTGCAGCGACGGTGTCACGGCAGCTCCGGGGGTTGTGGCATTCCCGGCCCTCCTAAAGCCCCCTCTCCCAGATCCCCACAGCTCCACCTGGGAGCGAGAATTCCCAGCTGGGATCCGAGCCCGGAGCCGCTCCCTGCTCCGGAAACTCGGGGTGAGACCCCACGGAGCAGGAGGACAGAAGTTTACCAGAGAAAAGTTCCTTGCCTTTGGAATTCCCGGGTGTTTCCCAGCTCTCCCTGAGCAGCAGAAGCACCACCAACACCCCCTGAGCTCCAGGTGTGATTTAGGGAGGGAGGGAGGGATGAGATTCCCGAGATTCCCACTGGGAATGCCCTGGGGAGGGTTTCTGGGATGCTGGTCCCCCTCTCCTGACCAGGGTTGGGTTTGGGGACCAGTGGCTGCCCAGTGGCTCCCCGAGGGCCACCGTGTCCCTTCAGCTGTCACCTTTTCCTTGGAAAAAAAGGGGATGGCAAAGCCCCAGGGAGAGACCTCAGAATAAAGTGACAAAGCAAAGCAGTGGCCTTGGCTGTGTGACAACAATGGAATTACTATTGGTATTATTATTATTGTTAATTTTCTCTTCTTTTTTTTTTTTTTTTAATACAGCAGATGGACCCACTTTGGCTTCTCTGGGGGCAGGAAAAACTCCCAATACTCCCCGTGCAAGAAGTGTTTCCCCCCTTAACTCTGCCATTCTGCTCCTTCAAAGGGTGAAAAAGGCTCTTCAGTGCAACCTCCAAGGGAAGGAGACTCCACAGGGAAGGAATCCTTTACTTTGAGATAAACGGAAGCGGGAAGAAGTCAAATCCCACAGGCTGGCAGGATTAAAAAGGGGAGAGGGGAGAGAAAGAAAGGAATGGCAGAGTTAAAGGACACCTTTGTGCTTTTTGGAGTGTTTCTCACACCCTGGCCATACTCTTAAAATGTTCCCTTCAATCCAAAATAACGGAGGGGGGGGGGGAGAAAAAAAAAAAAATCAGGAAGCAAGACTGCAGGGAGAAGCTGGCTGGATAAAAGCACACCAGTGGAAAGGATCTGTGTGGGAAAACAGCACCTTACTGCTCTCACACTGCCTCTGAGAAGGGTTTGCTGCTGCTCCTTTGGAAGGACACACAAATAACAAAAAAAAAAATATATCCCAGGGGAAAGCAAGGCAAACCCCCCACCCCCTCCTCTCATGGATCAGGAATAAAATAACTCCCTCTGGGTGACTATTGGATAAGTTTTAGTGACACTGCAAGGAAAGGTTCCCAAACACTTGGCCTAAAAGGGAAAGGGAGGTACACTTTTAGAAAAAGATGCTTATGCTTTTCCACGCCCCCCCTCTTTTTTTTCTTTTTTTTTTGATACAAAAATAGACCCAGAGAGTCTCGTTAAGCAATTAATAAAACCTTGGCTGCCTCGGTAGAAAATTAGAAAAGTCAAAAAGACAGACAGGAGCTGGAGACAGGTCTCCACCTTCCCAGCTACTTGGGCAGGTGGAGGAGAACCGGGCCGGGCTGGGGGGGGAAATCACGCACAAAAAAAATGGGATTTTGGGGTCATTTTGGGGTCATTTTTGGGGGGAAGGGGGATCCACCTGTGCCCTGGTTGAAGGGGGGGGACCCCCTGAGCTGCCACAACAACCCCCCACCCCCCCAACCTTCCCAGAGATGACAAAGCAGGGACAGACAAGGAGAGCTCTGGGTACGTGGTGTATTTACGCGGTGCCGGGAGCAGGCGCAGCCCTCGTTCCGACGGTCGCTCGGAGCAGCAATTCCAGTTCCTCACCATCTGCAGGACAGTTTGTAAACCCCCAAGTGGAGCTGGGGAATTACACTTCATGCCAAAAAAACTTAATTTTAATTCCATGAAAAAAAAAATGAAACGAAAAAACTACAGATTCTTAACCTCTTTGGGAGCTTCGGTCACTTTTTTAGGCAAGTTTTTTTTGGTGTGTTTTTCTATTTTTTGTTGGTGTGGTTTTGTTTTTTTTTTTTTCCTTCCCTTCAGTGTCAAAGGCTGGCTTTCCAAATAAGCAGGTAAATTTTGTTTTATCCGTTCATTCCAACGTTCAGAGAGGCTTTCAAAAAAACCCAAAATAACAAAACAAAAAGAAAAAAAAAAAAAACCAACCCAAAACTCGGGAGGAGCGTGCTGGACGTGACAAGATTCAGCATCATAAGTCATCCCCAAAAGTTCTTCAACCACGAGGAATAATTAATGCTCGTCTCTGAAAGGGATTTTTGGGTGTATAAAAGGGGAAAAAAAAAAAAAAGAAAAAAAAAAGGAACGTCCAGGTGACTGGATTTTTTTGTTTTGTTTTGTTTTGTTTTGCTCTACCCAGTCCAGGGGGGAGGAGGAGGAGGAGGAGGGGGGAGTGGCAGCTAAAACTGCTGCTGGTCATACTCTGCTATGAGTTTTTTGATGTGAGCCAGTTTGTTGTGGAGGTATTCGCAGCGGTTCTTCTCTTGGCTGTAATTGGGGTTAGTCTGGAAAAGAGAAATGAAAAGGCAGAGGTGGGAGGTGGTTCTTCACGAAGCCCAGGAGGGGTCAAAACAACCACAGAGAAACACAGGGAATCGTGGAAGGGTTTGGGTTGGAGGGGACCTTAAAGGCCATCCAGGGACACCTTCCACTAGCCCAGGGTGCTCCAACCCGGCCTTGGGCACTCCCAGGGATGGGGCAGCCACAGCTTCTCTGGGAATTCCATCCCAGCCCCTCCTCACCCTCTCAGGAAGGAATTCCTTCCCAATATCCCACCTAAATTTCCCCTCTTTTACTTTGAAGCCATTCCCTGTGTCCTGTCCCTCCATCCCTTGTCCCAAGTCCCTCTCCAGCTCTCCTGGAGCCCCTTTTTAGGCCCTGGAAGGGGCTCTGATGTCTCCCTGGAGCCTTCCCTTCTCCAACCTGGCCTTGGACACTTCCAGGGATGGAGCAGCCACAGCTTCCCTGGGAATTCCATCCCAGTCCCTCCTCACCCTCCCAAGAATTCCTTCCCAATATCCCATCTAAAAACCTCCTTTCTTTCAGTCTGAAGCCACTGACATGACCAAGGAATGAAGCCCCATCTAAAAACCTCCTTTCTTTCAGTCTGAAGCCACTGACAATGACCAAGGAATGAAGCTTTTTTTTCGGATACTCATTTAAAATGGACCTACTCCTGTATTCCTCAACACCCTGATCAAACAAAACAAGGAATAAAATCCCTCTTCAGCATTATCCAGCTCCAGGAGCCTCATCCCAGGGAATGAGCTCACCTGAGTGAGGCTCAGCCTAAACTGGGAGCAGTTCCAACAAGCACCACCCGCCCTCTGTTCCCACCTGGGAGCTCTGGATCAAAGCTGAACATCCAACACCCAGGGAATCTCCCCAAAAAGCTCCTAAATCCCTCAGGACAACAGGGCTCAGGATCATATCAACAGATTTAAAAGGAAAACCCCAACCCCCTGCTGGTGTGTGGCTGTTTTTTTTGCATAAACAGAGAGAAATTTAATGTTTTTCACGAGGAGAGATCTGGGGGCTGTGCCCCAGACACTGATCCCAGCCTGGACCTCGTGTACCAGCCCCCCCCCTCCAAAAATCCTGGAGGATCCTGTTATCCCTCAGCCTGTGCATCTGAAAACACAAACTGTTCTTTCCCTGGAGAGATAAAGGCCCTGATTTCACCCAGCCATTGTGCCACGGCCACGGCTGAGCGCTCCCAGGGATCCCAGCTCCCCCCCCAAACCCTTCCTGAGCTGCTTTCTGGACGGGCTGGAGCTGAACAAAGATCTGCTGGAATGCCTCAGAGCCTGGGTTTGCACTTGGCAGGGGCCCATCTCTTTCAGTCACACCAGGGGCACCACCCAAAAGCCTTTTTGTGGCCAAGTACATTCGCTTACCTTTTTAATTTTCCGATATTCCTGTAAAATTTGATCATGGATGGTCTAAAAAAAAAAAAAAAAAAAGGGGGGAGGGGGTGTAAAAATTAAGGTTTATTATTTTCAGTTCTGCAACCTCCCGCAGCAGGAAATATTTCCTGATGGCTCAATGTACACGATTCCTCCAAATTCCAGCTGGAATCTGCTCCCTCCACGACTTCCCTGGTGGCTACAGCCAGTCTCTGATTCCATGGATATATTGGAGCTGACTCCAGAGGCACTGGAAGGATCAGGCCCCACTCCCCAGCTGTGAGAATTACCTGTAACAGGCACCTCAGTTCCAGGATAACTGACATTTCCAAAGCTCCAACTGATTTTCCCCCCCCACCCCCACCCCAAGATATTAAAAATCCAGCGAGGGATCCCCGAATTTTGCAAGGAGGGAGGGGAGGGATGTCTGAGGGAGCTTCAGCACAATAGGTGCTCTGTAAAAATCTGTTTATTACCCTCAACCAGGCTTACTTTTTCAAGCTAATGAATAGCTAAAACTCTTTAAAAATCACCCTGACAAGTCCAATAATGGTGCATTGGGAAGATCAAAGATTCCAGAGGAGCAGATGACCCCGTGCTAACTCCCCTTCCAGCCCCGATACGCTCCCATATGTGCAAATATGAGTTTTTCTGGCTGGGATACACTAATAGCTTCCAGCAGCTTTTGGCTGAGGACGCCAATTGTCTCACTGAGGCCTTTCCTTGTCAACAAGTCCCATGATGTGGCTCCAGCCTGAAAAGGGAGCAGCACAGAGCTGGGAGAAGGGCAGACCCCAAAGCTGTCGGCTGCGCGCACGTTCCCCGCCGGCTCCGGGTGGAATTCCGGCACCGACCCGCCCAAAAAAAGGGGGTTTTAACGTGTATTTAACGTGTATTTAACATGTTTTAATGTGTACCCTGCCTCTTTGTACCTTATATTCTTCAGAGCCCTGCAAAAGCTGCTTGAGCTTGGCGTCCAGCTGCGTGAAGCGCCGGGTTATCCGCTCTATCCGGGCGTGCAAGTCCCTGTACTCGTTGTATTCCGCGTTGAAGTCGTTCTTGTAGCTCTGACGCTGCTCCGAGGAGGAAATGGCCGCGTATTTTCTGCAGGAAAAAGGGGTTTGGGGGGAACGGGGTTAGGGGGAATTCCCTCTGGGTGATTGGGAAACGAGCCGCGAGCGATTTGGGATCAAGGAATCGTTTCGATGGGACGTCGGGAAGGAATCGTTGGGTGCAAGGGTGGGGAGGCACTGGAATGGTTTTCCCAGAGAAGCTGTGGCTGCCCCGTCCCTGGATGTGCTCCAGGTCAGGCTGGATGGTGCTTGGAGCGACCTGGGATAGGGGAAGGTGTCCCTGGATCCACTTTAAGGTCCCTTCCCACCTCAACCAGTCTCTGGGATTCTGGGATTAAGGTTGGAAAAGCCCTCCAAGCTCAAACCCAACCACTCCCCCAGCACTGCCAAGCCCACCACCAACCCACGTTCCCAAGTGCCACATCCACATGTCTTAATTCCCCTGGGGATGGTGATTCCCTGTTCCAGTGCCTGACCACCTTCCAGCGAAGGAATTTTCCCTCACAGCCAATCTAAACCTCCCCTGCTGCAACTCTGGGGCTGTTTCCTCTCATCCTGATTTTGCACCACAGTAGCAACTTTTGGGAGGTTAACTGTCAGGATTATTGCCTTGACCTCCCTGTAAAACAAAACCACTGTTTTGCTCCCAAAACTTCCTATCTCTGCCAGATAAGTGTGGGACACACAGGTACACAACAGCCTGGGAGCAGCTGTGGGTGGAGGAAGACACTCAGATAATGCTGCTACAGCTTTTCTAACTCCTGCTGTCCTGCAGAACATGGAGTTCTGCCTCTGTGCCAGGCACTGGAACAGCAGGAATACGATGCTTCCAGTGCTGAGTCTTTAAAGGAACATAAAAAGCATTGAGCCATCGTTGCAAAACGCTCACAGGGGTGATTATGTGGCAAGAGCACACGACAAGAAGCCACGGTGAGGAGCTGGACTTCGTTTCCAGCACCTTCTGGAGACACCCAACGTTGCTCACTGTGAGCAGATGTGCCTCTGGGGCCCTTTGGGAGTGATTCAGCTCAACAAAAAAAGCCATTAAACCTGACATTTACGGCCCTCTCTGAAGGTAAAAACTCAATTTTTGGGAGGGGATGGCTGTAATTTGCCTCCCTGACTTGGCTGCAGCAGCCCCAACTCGGTGCTTGAGCACTAAAAGGCAATTTAGGCCTCAAATTATGGGGGAGATTTCACTCTTTTAACCTTTTAAGCACTTTTTAAGTGCTTTAGCCTTCAAGAACTGACTCCTTGGTGCAGGTTGGGATAAAGAAGCATCAACACAGGACAGGAGGTAAGTCCTCTACCAGCACAAAACATTCATCTTCACGATTAAAACAGCTCTTAACATGTGCAACAGCTCCTGTAATTTAAGGATCTGACCATCAGAACAGCTGGATCCCACCAGAAGGTGAGAGCAGAGAGCTCAGAAACCTCCCACTGATGCTCTGGAGAGGGACTAAGGGGCTGTAATGTCCCTTTGTAGGAGGGATCAGCACATCTGGGAAAGAAACCCCCCCCCCAGCCACCCAAATTCCTCTGAATGGCCCTAAAAGTGTCCCCTTGAAGGGGCTGTTTGGGGTTCACAGAGCCCAGAAAACCACACAAGAACCCTTTATCTCCTCCAGTCAGCTCCAACTTCCTCCTCCATCCCTTCCCTCCCAGTGATCCCAGCTCTGATGGAATCAAACCCCAGGCTGTGACATGCACAAGGAATATCCCCCCCAGCAACACTTCCTCCCCATCCCAAAGCTTTGCCTGGAACAGGTTTTGGGGTTTATGCAGATCCTGGGCTTTGTGCACGGGGTTTTTTTTTGGAGTGGGTTGTTTCATGAACCTCGAGGGGATCTCATTAAAGAGTCAAACAACTCAACCCAGGGGTTAGAACCTCCCTTAAAGAATATTTCACTGCTTTATGCTGATGATCTTGGCTCTGGAGAGGGGAAGAATTAGCAAACCTCCCCAAATCCTTCCTCGCCTTGTCTTCCACAACATTAAAGCAGATTATTTCCTCTCCAAATTTCCAACTGTAACACGGAGATGTTTAATCCTTTCCAACCCCTCCAAGGTATAAAATGTTTCCTGAACTACTTCAACAATCAGTTTATAGGAGATAAACCTGAACACTCCACAGGGAGGTAAAGAACTGATTTGATGCCAAGTTAAGTCTCAGGAACTCTGCAAAGCTGGATTCACTCTTTTTTTTTTTTTTTAACCCACCTTACAAAGTTCTATCAAATAACATAAAAGTCCAACAAAAATCCCCAGTGCACTGTGATTTTTTTAGCCTGAAACACGATCCCAAAGTGACGAAGCAACCCATAAAAAATACTTACAATAAATAATCTGGCATTTCTGAAGTTGATGTTGGTACACTAGAATTATTGCATGTTCCATTTAAACCTGAAAAAATAAAGGCTTGTTTATAGACGTTCTGAAAACTTCAAAGCTCATTGCAATTCAACTTCAAACCCTCATGAACTCATCTGCAACATCCAGTTTATGGAATTCTAAAGGATTTCTGTTTTGCTTGGAACCGACAGAGACAGAAGAGCCACAACAAGGTGGTTGAGAGTTCAAGGCTTCTCTACTATTTGTCTGTCAGCAAAACAACCCCAACATCAGCCAGGGTGAAAAAAAATCTGACTTTAATTGGTGTATAAACATTGCCTGGAGTGGGATAACACTGATAGCACCACTGGGAATGGGAAAAACACGTTCTGAGCCCAGAGAACAGAGCTGAGCAAGGTGAACGTTCTTTTCTCCCGCTCCTACACTTCATAGATTCCCCAGAGGAATATTCCAGGTGCAGATTCCTGATGTTGGCAATCCAGAGCCCTACAGGGCACCACACAGAGGTTTGCAGGGAATGCAGCTCTCTCCTCACACAGATCCAAGTGCTCCCTGCTCCAGGAATTGGGTTCAGCATCATTAAGGGCTCAGCTAAGGATGTTCAGGAGTTTCAGGGATGGGAGCAAAGATTTCAGGAGGAACAGGATTTGGAGGGAGCCTAAACCAGACCTATCCTCAGTGTAAACCAAGCACTGCAGGGTAAATTTGGAGGAAAACAGCGAGTGGATCCGGGTTTGAAAAGGGATATTTCTCACAAATTGCGTGTTACACCCCCAAGTCCTCCTCAGAGTCAGCAACAACCTGATTAGATCTTTTTAAAAACTGGTTTTTCCCCCCCTGAATTTCTACAGAAAGGCTTTCCTGGGCAGAACTAGAGAATGGCACCAACCCAGGGTTTATAAAACCACCCCAATCCCAAATTCCCTCTGCAGACCATCCCGGTTTTCCCTCCTTCCCTGCCCACAGTGTGGAAGAGGCAGGATGTGGGCTAAGGAAGGTTCAAGGCTCGAGAAAGGGAGACAAGGAGGTTTGTTCTGCCTGTGAGTGCCACCTACTGACGCTGAGAGGACCCCAGAGGTCCCTCTGGAAGAAACTTCCCAGGAGAAACTTCCACTCCTAGGGGAAGGTGTCCCTGCCCACAGCAGGGGTTGGGATGAGATGAGCTTTGAGGTCCCTCCCAACCCAAATTTTCCATGATTCCATCCAACATTTCCCTTCAGCCCCAGGGGGGGAAGTGGGGAAGGAGCAGGACGAGGCACAAAGGCACAGAAGGAAAATCTCCCAGTGCTGGATGTCCAGGATCCAAGCAGGACTGACCACATCCTGTTTGTGACTGCTCCCAATCCAGCTCGGATTCGTTACCTCCCAAACAGCAGCAGGAACAAAACCCAACTAATTAACAGACATCCAGTCATTAAGCTGTGAGGCCAAGCAGAGAAGGTTGGTGAAGGCTCAGCAACCTCAGAATTTGGGGTATTTGGGTATTTATAAGAAACAGGGACAAAAAAATGAAGAGAGGAAAACTTGTGTGTGCCCGTCCAGAACCATCCCGGAGGTACCCGGGGAGGAAAACCCACATGGGAGAAAGCCAACACTCCCAGAAAAAAACTGGGATTGACACCAGAGAAGGTTAAAGGAGAAGAATTATCTAAAAAGCTGATCCTGCAGTGCCACACAACCATCAGACCCATGGACTGTCCTTAAAATCACTTCTGAGCCACCAAAATGCTTTTGTAGGTGCCAAAAATGCTGTGGGGAAGGTGAGAGCTGACACCAGCTCAGCCCCAGGGCCCTGGGAATGGCTCCCTTTCCAGGAATCCAGCAAATTGGTTTCCATTTCCAAGATACTGTCCTTTTTCTGAACCAAAATTGGATGATTTTCACGCACCAGGCACGAAGGGGAACGTGGAAAGCAGGAGCAGGGCAAAGGAAAATGAGATGGATTCAAAAAGAAATTTAAAAGATACTCCCAGAGGCTGCAGGGGAAGTCCCAGAGCCCTGGGGAGCTGGGACAAACAGCAGAAAACATGGAAGCAGCAGGAAAGGCAATGGATGGGATTGGCCAAGAGATATTCTCTGCTCTGGCTTCTAAGAATTCAAAGAACTGACTTTGAAACAGTGGTTTAGGGAAAATGTTTTCTGTACAAGATTCACTCTTGTGTCAGTCCTTGAATAAGTAAATTCAGAGTCCTAGTGGGATACAAGGAAGCTCTTCCAGGCTGGAAGAGCTGGTTGGATACTGCTTGGACAGCATTTATCACCAGATTTATCTATCACTTCATTTGTATCCAATATTAAAAGGTTTTGTGAGTAACTTTTCATTAAAAAAACCCCAGCAACAGTCACCACAACCCCCACGAGGAGCTGCTCTTCCCAGGCCTTGCTCCCTGCCTTTCATCCCCACGGATTATCCCGGCTTTTTAATTGAACCAGGAGAGAAACATGACACGCTCTGAGGCAGTTCCAAGACAGCACGAAAGGTTAAACAGGAAAAACCTGCTGTCCTCTCTCTGGGGAGGAAGCACATTTGGTGATTTGGAGGTAGGACAGCGCCGGCATCTCGTCCCCCGCGGTGTCTGGGAGCGGACAGGACGTGCTCCCTCCGTCCTCAAAGGATCCAGAGCGGGATCACACCCAGCCAACACCAAAATTACCTCTCGGCCCGTCCTTACCTGTGACCTGTTCCTGGGGAACACTACCTAAGTCAGCGTTTTTTATTACTTCACAGTTCTGCTTCTCCTCTTTGCACTTCTCCTCGCCCTTCTTCTCCTTCCTCTCCTTCTCCTTGTCTTTGTGCTTTTTGGATTTTTTCTTGGATTTGACGTAGGAGCCGCAGTTGTGTTTGCTGGTCTGGGGACAGTCTGTGGGCGGGGGGTGGCTCAGCCTGTCCGTGGCCTCGCTGCTCTCACAGTCTCTGCCGTTGTGAGCCAGGTCGTTGCTCACATCCGAGAGGGGGTCGTGGGGCCGGGGCAGCTCCAGCACCGGGAGGTTGGAGCTGGAGGAGCTTCCCGACTCCGGGAGCGCCGGCGGCAGGGCAGGGGTGGGGGCGGGGGTGTCCTTCCCGTTGGAGGAGCTCAGCTTCCCGTTGAAGGTGGGTTGGGTTCTGTGAGCCAAATGCGAGATCCTGGGCTTTTTGTTGGCCAGGGGGTCGATGAACTCCAGAGGTTGGGATCGTTTCTGAGGAGGGAAACGGGGAAAAAAAAAAAAGCGAGTGATGGCGAGGGCTCGAGGGTCACCACTAGGTGGTGGTGCAAGACAGGGAAGAAGGGAGTGTATTCCCGGGAAAAGCAGCTGGTCCATCCCAAGCTGCTTCCTGACAGCCTTCCAGAGACTACAGCTTGGTGGGAGAGCTTAGAGGATCCCACCATCCCATCAGGAATCACTGATCTCCCACTCTATCCAGACACAGGCCAGCTCTCACTGCAGCCTGTTTCAAATCCAGCCCTTTGGAATCCAAACCCCTGCAGCCTCCCCCTGTCCCAGAGATTGGAAATGTCCCTGGAAGTGCCCAAGGCCAGATTGGACGGGGCTTGGAGCAACCTGGGCTAGTGGGAGGTGTCCCTGCCCATGGCAGGGGGTGGGACTGGAGGGGCTTTAAGGTCCCTTCCAACCCAACCCAAACCAGTCCAGGATTCCATGATAAAAACACCTGTCCTGGTCATGGTACAACATCCAGAGCACCCCAAATCCCCTGCAAAGGAAAAAAAAATGTGCTCAGACCTGCGGGGCAGGGAGGGGGATTCACCAGTTCTGCATTTTCTTCCCTCCCAGCTCTGAGGTCACCAGCTTCACCCCTGCAACCCACTCCTTCCTCTTCTCGAGAGCCAGGCATTGCCCGGAAGAGCTGAGGAAGTGCCAACTGCTCAGTTCTCAGAAGTTCAGGCAAGAAAGGGGACATTTACAGCACTTCAAAAGCCACGTCACAGGGGCCAACGTGACCCCAGTGATCCTTTTTTTTTTATGAACAAGTGCAGAGAGGGAAGTTGTTCCCAGCTGTGCCCGTCAGCAGGATGGTCACAGGCAGCCTCTGGAGCAGCTCCACGTGCCCACAGCTCCCTGGAGGCAGTTCTCCAGCCTGGAAAAGCTGCTCCATGGAAGAACCCATCCATCAGGCAGCAGAACCCAGAGCCAGACCCACGGCTGTCGGGCTCAGCCCAGTGTGTGCCAACCAAAATCACCCCAGCCAGCCCTCTGTGTGTGCCCACCTGGCAGCTCCAGGGCTGCAGGAACTCTGAGCAGGGATTATTTAGTGCCCAGAGGAAAACAGGCGATAGTTCTGGGTATTTCTTTTGGATAATTCACTATTTTCTTTCTGTCTCAGGCAGGGCTGTGACGTGTTTGCAAATGGAAATGTTGCTCCATCGCAGAGGTGATGGCTCCAGGAGCCCCTAATTCACTCCTTTCCCTCCCTGGTTGTTCCTCCTCTTTGCTATCTCAGGGGTCTCCAGGACTCTGCTCCACGCCAGGGATCCTTCCCACCTGTCCAGGTGATTAGGAAGAGGAGCTGCTGGTTCTGCCACGGAGCTCCAGGGGCAAGGCCAGCACGTCCAACCGGCTCTGCAACATCACCTCCCAGAACACACAGTGTCCATCTCGCAGAGGAGGGGCCACCTCTCACTGCAGCTCTCAGAACAGATCACTAAAAAACCACCAAACTGCCCTATTTTACCACCCTTTCAACTCAACAGACACCAGCTTCACCTCCCTGGTTATGAGGTGGATGTACATCCCATCCCTGCTCAGCCAGGCTTCCTTAGAATTACCAGACCAATCCTTTTTTTTTTTAACACCCTCATTCCACAGCTGAACTTTCCCAAAATGTTCTGCATTCCTGACTACCAAATCCCAGTCCTCTCATGGCACTGCACCCATTAGCAGCCATCCCTTTCTAAACAGAAACTACAGCTAGAGAGCATTAAAAAAAGCGACAGCTCACAGTGCTGGCTGTGGTTTGGTGTCTGACACAACAGAATCACTACTGGAAACATTTCAATCCCCCAGTTGGTTGCCCCTGTTTCACCAGCCTTTTCTAAATCCAAACCAACCAACCACCTTTTCTAAATCCAAACCAATCAACCAACCCCAAAGTTTCAAACTCCAGAGACCCAAACCATCCCCTATAGATCTCTGAGTCTTTCAAAACAGAAGCAAGATTGATTTTTCAACCTTATTTTTTTTCCAGCATCAGTTAAAAAACACACAAGCCCAGCCTGTTAACAGCACTGTGTGTTTCCAAGCTAACTTGAAGGTGATCTTTATTCCCCAGGAACATGCCCACAGCAGAGCAGGAGAGGATTTGGAATTAGCTACCTGGCAAACAAGTTACACAGTCCTTGTTCTCAATAGAGAATTGCCTCCCTCTTACTGCCAGAAAGCACATAATTTCTTTACCTGCTAATATTCTTTGCCACTAATCCTCAGTGCGTCTGTCCAGACAAGTAGGAATTACACATTCCATTGGCAGGAGAAGAATAAATACTCAACTTGTCTGGGCTGACCCACAGTGGAGAGAGAAGGGAAGGAGACATTTCACAATGTGAGAAACGCCTGTGCTGAGAGGATCCTGGGAAAAGTGGGGACAGACTCTGCCTGACACACACACCCCAAGCACAGCTCCTTTCAGAAGGGGTGTTTCTTCTCATGGAAAAACCAGGCAAAATGTTCTTTTCACAGCTCCCATCCCAGAGCAGCCCAACCTGCCCCTCCTGGATCTGTCAGGGCCATTAGGCTGCAGAAGGTCAAGGGTTTTAATAACTCTGGAGTGTGTTTGGGAGCTGCTTATTAAAAGGCTTCGTTCCACTCAATTATTAGTAATGAGGAAAACACGAGCTCGCCCTCCCAGGAACTCCAGGAGGGATGTGGGCACTGGGGAAAAGAATTCAGCCCTAAAAACTGAACCTGCTGTGAGGGATTCTCCCCACACGGCCAGAGGAGAAACAGATGCTGAGGGAACCCAGGATCAGGCTGGAACTTAATAAAACAGAAATAAAACCCCAACGACCTCCTGACCCACCAGCAGGTGATTATGGGGTGCAGACAGGCAACAGCTCTGCCTGGACACACCTCCAGCAGGCAAATCCATCAAGAGGAGGAGGAGATGGATCTCAGGAATCACCTTGGGATCACCCACCTGAGGGGGAGAGCTGGAGTTCACCGTGTCCTTTGGAGGGCTCAGAGAAGGTGCTTCTCCTTGAAAACCGCTGCTGTTCTGGGGCTGGCAGAGCTTCCTGGAAAACAGGAGGTTGGGGATGGTCAAATCTCACACCTTGGCAAGGCAGGAGGGGGCATTTCCCATCTTCCCACGGAGCAAAGAGCCTTTTTTTGGGCTCGGGATGAGATGCCACGGAAGGAGCTCGTTCAGGCACTGCCAGCTTTGATCTCTGACAAAACCCAGGGAGGGGAAACTACTACAGGAGAACATCAGTGACAAGTGGTAATTCCTTATCTCCTTCCTGCTTTCCCATTCTGTTTGGTGATTCTCTAGGAATGGAGGGACCAACGCTGCCAGGGAGGGAGGAGGCAGGGCTGAGCTCTCAGACACAGGAGAGGATTCCCTGCTGAGGATGGAACTGATTTTCCAACATTTTTTTACCTCTTTCCTCTTGAACTTGTGATGTAAGAATTGCAACAAATTAATGATGGCCTCAGAAACACGATCCATGTGGAGATGAGTAAAACTGGCATTGAATTTTGAAGTGTAAAGGATATAATACATCATTCTTCTGACTGAAATACAGCTCAGTAAGACATTAATTGAACAAATTTCTGCTGAGATTTTGCTTTACCCAGTTAAAACTGACTTCAGGAGACAACTCAGAAAGCAAAGCTCACTGAAAAGGGGCTGAAACTCAAGGTCAGATGTTAAGGAATAAGTTCTCCCACTCATCAGCATCATTAAAACAACATTTTATGGGAACAGCAGTCCTTTCAGCAGCGAGCCCCTCTGGGTCCAGGAAAAACAGGATTATAACAGGAACTGCTGAGGTATTATTGGTCCACTAGGATTTACATTTAGGGCTTCACAATAACACTTTTAAGTTGCATCATGCAAAACAAAGCTACTCTGGGCTGTATTTGTGGCGTTTGACAAATAATAGAAACCTCTTGTAGCAAAAAAAAAATTACAATTATTATCATTTAAGTGCCTTAATTCCCCTTCAGGCCAGGTCTCTGCTCCTCCCCAGATCTTGGAGTGCTTTCCCAGCCCACCAGCTTTGCCCAGACTGTCCCTCTACTAATCACCCAGAAAAAAACCCTACTGTTGCATCAAGTTGTAGCTGACAAACTGAAAAAAATGAAAAAAAAAAAAGGAAAGAATTCAGGGTTAAAGGTTTTTAATAAAGTAGCTCTGCAGTCAGTTTGTCACCAGCTGTGGAGCCCAAATAACCCAAGTCTAAATTCTTCCACGAGAAAACTACAGTCAGCATTAAAGCACATATTTTTTAAACATTAGGAAGATTATTTCAGAGATAATGCCCATGACTTGACAAGATTTTGCTTTTAACCTGAGCTTGAACCTTGGGCTGTGTTGCAGCAATATTTAGACATCATTTAGTCACAGCCAGCCCGGCTTTGTTTAATTTTATTTAGAACAAACTCAGCAGCTCAAGGAAAGTACTTGGGGATTGTGAAAATGGGAAAGGGACAGTGACATTGCATCAACACCCCGGGGAAAGTGGCTTTTTTGGGGGCTGGGTCATCAGCCTGAGCAACCTGGTCATGTCTCCTAATTGTTAATTGTGGATTTAAGAAGGGAACGAAAGACAAATGGGTTCAGTTCAGGAGCTTTGTGACAGCTGAAGGTTCCATGGAATCCTGGAATGGGTTGGGCTGGAAGGCCCTTAAGGCCCATCCAGTGGGAAAAGAACCTTCCAGTGGGAAAAGAACCATCCAGTGGGAAAAGAACCATCCAGTGCCACCACCCTGCCATGGGCAGGGACACCTCCCACCATCCCAGGTCACTCAGGGTCCTGTTTTACACCCGCAGGAGGATGGAAAACACAAAACAGGAGGAAGAACGCAACGAGCAGGGTTAGTTACAGCTCCAACATTTGCAGATGTTCCAATTATTGCAGCTGCTGAACCGTCCAGTGGCCACTGGCCCTGAAAACCAGGAGGACACGGAACAATTGGTTGGCTCCAGGCAACGCCGGCGACGTAAATCCAACGTCTGCCGCTGCCTGTGCCCTTTTCGTGGCTGTTTTTCTCCTGTCTTCAAACCCTACATGTTTTTTCCATTTTGGAGCTTCATTACCTGCATGGGCTGAGCGGGGCTTTGTTTGTACAGTTGAATACATCCTTTCCAAGGTCTATTTTTAGACCTCCTCCTAACTGAACGCCACGATTCGAGAGAAAAAAAATTAAAGCAGCAAACGTTGCTTTCTACGGGGAGAAACTCACTTGGTTTTTTGGAAAGCCATAAAGATTGCATGGCAGTTATAGCTCTCCTTTTAATTATAATTTAACATCAAGGCCACTTAAAGGAGTTTGGTTTTACTTCAGCACACCAAAAGCACTCGGAGTGCAACTTTCTGTTGTTGGTTTAGCAAAGTCTCATCTCCAAGTCCATTGTGCTTTTAAATCATGGGAGCTGCTCGAACAGGGCTTCATCTCAACCAAAAGTGCAATAAAATAAGGCACAAGTAAAAGCTCTGTCTGCATTACAAAGGCACTGAAAACCCAGAGAGGGAAATATAAACACTCAGGGAGGAATTCTCCTGGAGAAACCTGGGAGATTTGGGCTCTTTCCCTGCTGCCCTTCCAAGCTTGGAAGGAAAAATATCTGTAGAGGAAAAAATATCTTTAGCAACCAAGGATCTTGAGTGTGTTAAGGGCTGTTTTCAGGGAGGAACAGGGGAAAAGGTATCCCTTGGACACAGAGGATCAGCAGCAGGATGCCCAGAACATGTTTTAGGGGATTTACCCCTACGGAACCACCTCTGCTTTTCCATGCATCCCTCACTCCAGTCAGATCTGAACCTCAGGGATGTGGCTGTGTGGTAACATCTTCTCCTTGCCTTTAAACACGTGCAAGGAGATGTGGGAAGAGGGAAGGAGACTTTCAGTGGAGAGTTGAGCTGGACACATTTAATCCACTGGAACTTCCCTCTGCCAGCTCTGCTCCCTATCCAGGTTTTCCTCAAGCTTTCAGCAGAATGGTTTAAAGGCAACCCAGGACCACCTGAAGAGTGGATCCACTTGGATATTCCAGTTTAGTCAACTCCTCCATCTGCCTGATGTTCAAACGAGTCAAACACTCAACTTTCAGTCCTTGGTTACCCTGATTTCCAAGCTCCAGGTGAAATTAGGGAGAACATGGGATAATTACCTAACCAGGATCCTCTTCAGCAACTGCTGATCTCCTTCTGAGTAGCCAGGCCAGTCCTTCTGCACTTCTTTGTACACACAGTCCTTCAGTGTGAAAGTGCTGTCCTTGGCACTCAAATTTGCCACCTGAAATGGAAGTAATTCGTAAAAACATCATTAGGGTTTAATTTTCTCACTTATTTTAACAAACAAGAGTTAAGACAAAGGCAAATTCTGAGCAGATTTAGCAGTTAGCAGTGTCAGAGAACAAGGACTTCAATATTTCATTTCCTAATCATTAAGATTATTTAATCAAACTGTGCCTTTCCTTCTGCCTTGTCACTGCAATAATTCATAATGAGTTCCTAAAGCACATCCAGTTTAGTGGGGAAATAAGTCATATCTAAAAAGATTATTCAGCTTGGGTAGCCTGGACCAGCACAACAGCAGTTTATGGGAACACCTGGAAATAAACCCTAATGGGAACAGGCAGTTCTCTTATCACACCTGTGCCACAGCCAAAACAGGGCAGTTTATGGCTGAGAGAGGAACTCTCGTGGCAATAATTTAGTTAACAATTGCCAGGAGATATTTCCTCACTGAATGAGCCAGGAGAAGAGGTGACAGAGAGCTGCTTTCTCAGGGAGCAGAGAGGAGAACGCAGATCCACTGGACTGCACAGAGAACTTTTCCAAGGGTACTTCAGGGCAAGAGCAGAACCTGTGATCTGCAGCCTGGGCACCGCGGGGAGCTCAGCACGCGCTGCCTGACATTTTATCCAGTTCCACCCCATGGAGTTTCCCCCACAAAACCCTGCCTGGGTAGGAAACACTGCTGGAACAGGCAGGGTTAGGATTAGGATGGAAACAACTGGTTCAGAGTCATCCCACTCGGATCAGTCTTTCCACAGCTCGACTGAAAATTCAACTTCTTGCTGCTGCTGGTTACACATGTGAAAAATCCAGTGTTGGCACAAAGCAAAGAGACCAAATGAGGCTGTCACTGATAGTGAACCTCTCTCAGGTGACTCACAGAGTCATGGAATGGTTTGGGTGGGAAAGGAACTTAAAGCTCATCTCATTCCATGGGCAGGGACACCTTCTACTAGCCCAGGTTGCTCCAACCTGGCCTTGGACACTCCCAAGGATGGGGCAGCCACAGCTTCTCTGGGAAAACCTGTGCTTGCAGAGCACTGCAAGTTTAAGAAGAAAATAAAGCCTTAAATGTGTGTTTGAGGAGGGACACAGAGGCCCAGGTGCCAAAAGCTCTGCCACAGCCAGGCTGATCCACTGGCCAAGCCAGCAGTTGCATCCCAAAATTCCCTGCCTGAGCCCCTGAGTTTGAGGGACTGTTACACCCCTGAAACTGGGAGACGTTTTTATTCAGTCCATGGAGACACTGTGCATCTGTTCTGGGATTACTCTTCTCCAAGGCTCCCTCCATTCAGGAGATGACTGTGCTTAGGGATTCCTATTATCCACACAGCAGTAAAATGCCCCAAAAACAAGAGAAGGAGTGGAAAGTCTCGAATGAACTGAAGATGCTGCTGATTCCTCTGCTTTTGCTTCAGGGAGGCTACGAGCAAATATTAAAAAAATATTAAAAATCTAGGCAGTTCAAAGTAAAAAAATGCTGCACAAGTAACACAGCGAACTCTCCTGATAAGAGAAAAATAGAAAGCCCAGTTATCAGTTTACACGACCAACACTTTGTTTTTCCTTTCAAGTTCCTGTCAGCTTTCCAAAAAAATCCTGAGCCAAAATACAAGAAGAATTTGAGCCCTGTTTTTACACCGAGGTGTCCCTGTAAACACACCCAAGAGACAAAAGCAAAGCCAGGGTTCCTTTTTCAAGAAGTCTCCCAGAATTTCTCCTGGTTCTCCTGCCTGTTTCTGGAGCCCGGGAAGAACAATTCGGGATTTTCCTTCTCTCCACGGAGCCTGAGAGCTGCTGCTACCTCCTTGTTTTGCTCTTGTGTGGGACTCTGGAAGCTCCACCCCGGGGCCCTCCCAAAAATAGAAACCTTGCAAAACGAGGCAAAAAGGCCGTCAGGAACACGGAGTCCTGCGAGAGATGCAAGAGGCCCAACGAAACCCACACCTCGACGGATTTAGACGTGTGGAGCTTTAACACACAGCCTGTAATTTTTAGCTTATCTTGTGTCTGCTGGTGGATGGGAGGGAGCCCTGGGATGGCTGAGAGGGATTAACTTTTACGAGCAACACACTGTTTCCAGCCAAATCAGCGTTTAAGGCCGAGCCGGGGCCCGGCGGCCGCACGCGCCGCTTCCCCGGCTTCGGGGGAGCATCAGGTCCAGAGGGATCCTCAGGAAGAGAGTTTCTAGTCTGAAAACCTATTTATAGCAACTCAAAAGGTGCTCCAAAGAGTCCCAGCGCTGCTAGAAAAAACAAAAAAAAATTAAGGGTTCCAGGATTAAGGTCTTAAAGGAAGGAGCGAGTTGTGCCAGCTGGAAACTGCCCGGGTTTAATGGGACCTGCCCTGTGCCCAGGGGGCAAACTGAGTCCTGTCTCAGGGTTTTCTCAGCTCTGGAAAGGAGTAGAATGAAAAAAAAAAAACCCCAAACAAACATCAGAATATTTTCCAGGATATATTCCAATACAGAAGAGGGCAGCTGCAGCACTTAAATAAATAGCCATGATGTGTTTTAGAAAGCAATAAAGGGATTTACTGCAAGGCCTAAAATGGCACCTTCAACCTGACTCCCAAGTGTTAGGAACTGATTCAGCCTGAAGACAGCTTTCACACTTGACATACAAATAATGTGCTTGGCAAGGAGCTGCATGATCTTCACACCTAACCAGTGGCACTTCCAAGCAGGAAAGGCTCAGAGCAACACACAAAAAAAAAGAGGGGACATCTTTTCCTTCACATAGAAAAAAAACATGTACCAACACAGAGGGTTGCTCCTTTACATCCATGAGGATAAAAATATAGACATTGACAGGTTATAACAAATCAAGGAAGTTGTAGATCCTCTGTCAGACAATCCTCCCCGTGACCAAGCAGAAGTGCTCCTCTGACAGGACTGATCTGGTGAGCCAAAATCATCCAGCTTGGTTGCAAACCCCCCTAACCCTGCTATCTGCAACAGCACCCTGAGCTGGGAACTGTGTCACCCACGGCCTTTAGAAACACACTGAGCTGCAGTTTGGAGATAACAGGTTAAGACTGACACGGGAGGGGTTCTGAGAAGACATTTCCCTTTACCTAAAAATCGTTGCCTCCGTCCAAAGAGTACAAACCTGTTGCAGAAGGTTATCCAGCAAATCCTTGTCCTGCTGAGAAAGTCCATCCTTCTGCAATCTGAGAATAAGTTCAGGTTTCTTATAAGGCTTTAGTGCCAGTAAGTGCACAACCCTATCTTTGAAGGGTCTCTGAGAAATGGCACTATTGCCTCTCTTTATTGCACTGGCAAGGTTGACTGGCGTTGGGCGCTTCCTGGAGGGAACAGCATCGGAAGCTCCTGGTGCAGGTTTACGCACCTGAACCTTTTTGCCTAAAATGAGATGAGAATAGTGAACTGCAGCAGTCACCTTGCAAAAAGGCCAGTGGGCTGTCAACACAGTTCAGCAGGCCCTCTGAAGTGCCACAAGATGACAAGGAAGGACAAAACACAACCAGCACAACCCCCTCCGCTCCGACACGGAACGAGCATCCCAGGAGTTTTATGGTTCATGACAAGCTCGTAACAAGTAAACAGCAACACCAAGCTCTGGAAACCTGAGTATTATTGGCCACCAGCTCACATAAAGCTCCCTTTGTTTGCTAGCTTTTCATTTATCCCAAGTGCACGTATCCCCACGGTTAATCTAACTAGTTTTTTTTTCCCCCCCCTCCTCCCCTATGAGAAGAAAATTCTGCATTATTATGTAGAAGAGTGGAAATACAGGAGTGGAAAGACCAGAACTGGTCAACGAGCGGCTCCCCGCTGCTGAGCTCAGCAAAAACGCTCCTCCAGCAGATGTTTCTGCTTTTAGAACAATAGGAACTTTATGGGGCTGGGTCCACCTCCCTTCCCCCTCCAAACACGGCCCCATGAATGGGGCTGACACTGGGCCATCAGCCTATTCATCAGGGTGCTGTCTGTGCTCATAGAATAACCCCTTCTGCCCTGGGCTAAGAGCTGCTTCAACCCTCCAGTTGAGTTTTCAGAGAACTGAGAATGTAAAGCTGCCTCCAAAGTGCACCTTGGCTTCCTCAGTGTTGTTCCTGGATGCCGACAGCACGATCCAAGAGTTCGTTTTTCCCATTCCCACCAACAAACAGACCCTCACACCAGCCCCAAATCAAAGAACTGGGCTCTCCTGAACACAGCAGGTCCCACAGCCAGGTTCCTGCTACCAAACCAAGCAAAATCTGGGAAGAAAACGGGCAGGTTCCAAGGTCTGAAGGCCGTGGAGGCACAACCAATAATCCCTCGGGCGGGAGGGAAAGTGACCTTCTCCAGGACAAACAACACCCGGCGTTTCCTGCGAGTGTCTCTCCCTCAGAGGTTTATTCCAGGATGGTACTTCTCCACTGCTAGGAAGCCACGTTCCCAACTGAGTCATCTCAAGATACTGGGGATTGTCTGCACTGTTTGCTTGGCTGAGCTCGGGTTGCGTAACCCAGGCCCCGTTTCCTGGCTTTTTTTAATCACACACCACCACGGGTTGCTCTGAGCAAACCAACCTCCTGTCAGGGCTGAGCTAAGGTGAGAGAGGCAGAACAGCAACGATTCCTGTGTTAGAACATCCCCCAAAATCCAGAGGTCAACTGGGTTTTTTTTTTTGTTTCCAGCAACTGGGACGAGAGAAGATTCGTCAGCTTTCTAGAGCTCCCTTAACTGTTTGCCAGGTCACGAACAGTAAAAACACACATTGGGAGGTTTCCACTTGAGGCTGCAGCCAAAATGTGCAGTGATAGGAAAAGAAAAAAATAAAAAAATAAAAAACAACTGAGTTAAGCCAGAACACAAAGGATCTTAAAATATTTATGCAGGTGCATGGATATGGATGCACACACACATTTAGTGTGGATGTTAAGCACACACATCCCCTGCAGCTTTACCTGCAGGCATCTATTTACACATGGATTTATCCAAGTGCCAGTTCACATCTGTGAGTTCTTGCTGCTCTCTCCAATTTCAACATTTCCTATAAATTTTTCCACATCTGAGCCGCCTGGAATGACTCCACTGCCGCTGAAGTGCTGAGCTCCGTGTTCTCATGGAAATGTGAGAGCCAGTGCTGTCCCTCCAGCCCGGCCTGCCGGGAATGGGAATCAGCTGATGGTGCTGGCACACCGGGAACGTGCGTATCCCACACCAGGACTGTCCTTTCCAGGCTCTTCCTTCTTGGACCAGTGCTCCCCCCTCCTGTCTTCAACGCTGACATCTTATCTAGGGAGCGGCCACTGCTTTTACACAGCTCCATTTTCAGGGCAGTAAAAGGTTTTAGCAGGGGTATTTTTAAATCAAAGAAGTTCTGCTCCGTCTCCCCGGGAAGCAATTTGCTTTTGAGAAGCTTCTCCCTCACGAGCCTTAACTTCATGCACTTACTGTAATGTTCTCAAAGAGGAGCTAAACAAAATAATCTTCTAGTCTACAGGAAATCAATGCATTTCCTTCCTGATTATTATCTCATTTCTCAGCCTTTGAGCACTCTGCCAGTGAGGCAGGGTCAGTTCTACATTTTGCAACTTCACCCTTCTCATCACAGATCCTCTGAGCAGAGACTGGCTGCAGATCACATGGGCTGCAGGAAAAACAGCTGCCCCAGAAAGAAAAAAATAACCAAACTCTGCTTTCTGCTTCGTGTTTGTGCCCTAAGTTTGTGACCTGAGGTTAAGCAGCCTAAAAGCTCGGTCTCTGCAGGCTCCTTGTGATATTGGCCATGGTTTTACTTCCTCTCCTAAGGTTTTCCTCCTGCTGTCACAGTGAGATGTTCAGGCTGCAGCACTGCTGTGGTCTCCCTGCTCATTAACACGACCCGTGGCACGTTCTGCTCTGGAGTGGGCACACACACCAGCTGTGTGGCACGTTTTAGCTGAGCTGGCCATGGGCACAGACACTGTGATGGGTCAGCAGGGTGCTCCCAGCGTGACAGACGTGACCTGCAGCCAGCCAGGGATGTCACTGCACACACACGGCCCCGACAGCACCACGGTGGTTTGGCTTGGAAGGGACCTTAAAGACCATCCAGTTCCACCCCCTGCCATGGGCAGGGACACCTTCCACTAAGACCAGGTTGCTCTGAGTCCCATCCAACCTGGTCTGGGACACTTCCAGGGACAGGGAAGCCACAGCTGCTCTGGGCAGAGCCCCGAGGCGATGATGGAACCGTGAAGGCGACACAACACAAGGAGAGCAGCACCCTGAACCAGACACCCCTAAGGAACCACCAGAGACTGCCATGGGCAAGCAAACAACATCAGTAATGACTCCAGAACCTGGAGAAGAGCCCCCAGAATGGAGAGGGGGCTTACCTACGTATCTCCCCCCAGGTTTGATGACGATGGCGCTCCGGCTGCGCGTCTCCTCCTCGGCCTGTGCCATGCTCTGCCTCGCCTTCTGGTAGGAATCATCAGTAGCACACACGGTGATTTTGTCCTGTATGCTCCCAAGGCAATCCAGGTGGATATTGCCATTGCTGAGAAAAAAAAAAACAACAAACCATGGAAAAGATCCTCCCGACACTGCAAATGACACCAGGGGACAACTGGGGTTGTGCCAGTTAAATATTAGTGGGGGATGCAGAGGAGCTGAGAGGGAACTCAAATGCTTCCAAAGCTCAGGGAGCTCAGGAGGGAACTCAGATGCTTCCCAAAAACATGCTCAGACAGATGAGAAAGACTCTAAAAACAAAGAGCACCTATTGAGCTTTGTCCAGGTTTGTCAGGGAAAAGATGCCACGGAAGGTAAGTTAAAAAAAAAAGGTCAGGTTTTTGGTTTTGTTTTTTTTTTTGGAGGTACCACTCACCTGGACACATACTGCTGGATGCAGTCAAAGCTCCCCTGGGGGCTGTCCTTGCCAATATTTGAAAGGTAAAATGTGAAGGTCCTCACTTCCGTCGGTCGGTCGGGCCTCGGGATCGCGATGTGCTGTTCGGGAGAGGGGAACCATCGGTCACCCGGGTGCCCCAGCCTGGCACACACCCCAGTTCTCCTGCAGCCACGGTGCTTTTAGGCATTTTGCCACCCACTGCAAGTAAAGCACCTGGATTTCTGCACAGGAGGGCGAGAGGCTACGAGGAGAATTCGAGTTATCCCACTGCGTGTGGACACACAGAGGGAAAGGGCGGCCACAGACAGCACAGAGATGCGAGCAGGGGACTTGCTGCCTCTCTAACAGAGCCCACAATAACCTTGCTCTAGGAATCTGACCCAATTCTATTGATTCAGGCTCAAAACAGACTGTTTATATTCAATTTAGAACACTCGGGGCTTGTTTCTTTCGAATTAGTGAGCCAGCACTAAACATAGCACCAGTCAGGTCACTAGGTAGCACCCTTCTTCTTTTTTAAGATATTATAATTCCATAACAAGATTTCATGGCTCACAGTAGAGTGTGACGCTGCTGCTAAATTAAATATTTAATCAAGCATTAACTGTGCTCCTCAGACAACTCCACAGCCAGCCCTGCATTGTTTTTATCTTCTTCCCCCTCACCCCGAGCCATTCATTTTTCAAAAGGGAAACTCTCTCTCCCCTCTGCATTTGGAGACCAAACGTAAATGTCAGCCTCTGAGCTCTACTATCACATCAATATTTGATAATTAAGATGGCTCCCAGAAAAACCAGACAGAGGGAACATCAGTTGCAACCTATTTTGGGCTGCACTCAACCGCACGGGTTTATATTTACCCGGATTGCCACATAAATGCAGAAAATACACACTCCCAGCAAAACCATCCCCATCTGACTGCGCTCAGGAAGGACTGCTGCCGGGACAGGAGGGGTTTTTGGGTGGTTTCCTTTTGACCTCAGATGTCTCCAGCAGCCTGGAAAAGCGACCCAGAGCATCTGTGCCCCTCTGCTAAACCACAGGGATGTTCTCGGGCTGAGCCCCCGCAGCGTCTCCCTGCCCTCAAACAGAGCTCCCTTCTTCCAAAGGCAAGCCCAGGAACCTGGGGTTGAGCCTTGTTTTATACAGAGGGACGAATTATCCCTGGGTTACATGGCTAAAAATACTTGGGAGCAGATTTGGGAGGGATGTGGGTGCTGCTGGGCCCTCCCTGAGGAGCCCCGTTATCTCCCCTGCCAAACGTGCAGCACCAGCCTGGAGCCCTTTTAATCTGGCCCTGCACCCTCTGCCCCCACCCAGGGCAGGGGAAATAAAATTCCCTTCTGCTTTACAAGAAGAAAGTCCTGGAACCAGCAGATTGGGGGTATTTTTGCAGATTAATTCAGTGGGAACGGGGAGAAAAGGTGAATTTGAGGGGGTCGTTCCCCTTCCGGAGCTGTTGGTTGGGGGGATCGAGTTGTGCTGCAAACAATTTGAGCTTGTAAAAGAAAAGCTTCCCTTCCCTGTGAGAGGGGAATATTTGCACAGAAAATTCCCACCATTAGGACCTCATAATTGCAACTGCTAAAATCTCACACCACTGGCTTTAAAAATCCCACTGCACACAAAAGTTAACGGGATTCCCCAGAGGAAGCAAAATAGGAAAGCAACCAAACCATATATTCACACACCACAGAACTTTCTCCTCCCTCCTGATTTACCATTGGGGGGAAAAAAAACATCTCCAGGAGCCCCAATCTGGGGCATTTTTGTAGAGTTTTTGCAGCTTTTTCCGAGGATGGAAAAGGAGGCAGGAGGCAGAGTCACTCCAGTACTGAAAAGTGGAGTCTACGAAACCCGGGGCCGTTATCTAGGAATTATTTTTAGCTGAAAACAGAAGGTTTCTCAAGCCACCAAATCAGCATGGGGACTGCTTTGAGGGAGCCCTAATTTTGGTGCCGAGCGCTGCACCAGTAACCAGAGACACTTAAAAATAGCTCGGTACAGATGTGACTTCTGTTTCCCCTCTTTCAAGTAACATTCATCTGGGCAGGGCTTGCTCTGAATGGAGATTTTTCACCTCCCTCTATTAACACCAGCACAGCTTCAGGCCCAGAAATTGGGGGAAACGTTGTATTTTCCCATCACAAAGCAATGGCATTTTTTCCCCCCAACAGTCAGGTTAAAAAGCTCCACAACACACGTGGTTTTGGGCACCTGAAGGGGTTTTTTTTTTACCCCTCTCTCAGTTCAGTTCCTTCCCTTCTCTCCCCACCGAGCACCTGCAAATTTCACCCAAGCTGAGCTCTGATTCTGAATGTCTTTTTGGCCAAAATAGAAGCTTTTTCAGCCTTTCCTCGTCCAGTTGTGCATAACTATCACTGCTTGCAACGCTTGGGGTACTCAGGCTCTGAAATTCTGATTTATGTGCACGTTGAAACGAGCAAAATGCTCAAGAAATGGGCATGAAACCTTACAAAACCATCCAAAATAACTCACTTTGTGATGAAAAACTAACAACCAGGTGCTGTTCTTAAGGCACAACCACAGTCCCATTTTAGCAGCTCAAAGCACAGCAACGCTCTGCTCGTTACAAGCTGGTTACTAGGACTGAAATTGTGATTATTCCACGGAATATTGCCCTGCAAAAGCCATTAACAACAGCAGCACTGCTGTAGAGAAATACATCCCAGCTTTTTATAAACTCCTGAGAGATTCCATTCAGACCAGGGCCCATGCAGGAGGGTTTTTGTGCCTTGCCACTGGAACAGCTGTTTTATTTTGGGCTGGAACCCAAATCTTCCTTTTCTAAAACACCTTCCTGACCTGGTCTTTTATTCCCAACAATTCCCTCCCCTGGTTAATTAGTGTATCAAACATGAAAGTTGCTTTTCTGTCTATTAGCAACTGAAAATAACCCTGACACTGGAATGGGTAAAAAGACACAGACACAGTAATTTAAAGGCTTCTGGAGAGTTAAAGAAGAAGCACATTCCTATATATATATAAAATATATATATACATAAAAAACATTCTTATTTTATGTCCTGCCTCCCCTAATCATCAAGTAAAGCTTTCCTTTCTTGTGAGGAGGATATTTGCACAGAAAATTCCCACTATTAAAACCTCATAATTACCAAAATCTCACCCCACTGGCTTTAAAAATCCCACGTACAAAAGGTAACGGGATTTCCCCCAGAGCCACGTTTTTTTTTGGGAAGCAAACCAGGAAGGCAACAAATGGAGGAATTAAGGAACAGTGGAAGAAACAATTTAAAAAATAAGCAGCTAAACAAAATATGTTTTAATGTCATCATCTGGACTTTGAGAGCCTGTGAAATTCCTGGAATTCTCTCCGGAGTCCAGTTGATGGAGGATCCCTCGAAAGCATTTCAAGCCTCAGTTCCTTAAAGCAGGAGAATCCTGAGAGTCCTACCCTCAAAAGCAGATGGTTCCCCAGCTGCCAGCTCCTTGTCATACCCAGGAAAAATAATCCTGAAGGGACAAAGAGCTCTTTCTCTCTCTGCTCCCATGGAGCTGGATCCCACTCCCTTCAAAGCTCTACCTTTGGCCTTTAACTCGTCAGGGCAATTAATTAACGAGCTGAGGTCAGCCCTGGGTGCCACATCCTCCCTCCCACTTCCAGGGGCTCACACAGGTAACTGGCAGCTCTCCCACCTCCCAAAAAAAAAAATCCTCTCTGGAAGTTAAGGGCTCCAATACAATAAATATTGATTTTTTTGTGAGGACCACGTAGTCTGAAAATATTCCACGTGATTTGAAAATACTACATATAATTTGAAAAT